ACAATAGGTCAGTTTTCATTTTAGAAAATTTTATATAACTGGAATCATATGGTCTGTTCTCTGTGTTGGGCTTCTTTCAGTTAGCATGATGATTTTGAAATTCATCCATGTTGCTGTGTTTTATCAGTAGTCTGTTCCTTTTTATTGTATAGATATATTTTTTGTTTATCCATTCACCTATTGGTGAAATTGGGGTTGTTTCCAGTTTAGGGTATTACAAGAAAGGCTGCTGTGAACATTTCTATATGGCTGTTTGCTTTCATTTCTCTTGGGTAAGTACAAAGAAGAGGGATGGCTGGGTAGCATGATAGGTATACGTTTAACTTTACTCATTATGGTGTTTATTTGTATTTCCCTAATGATAATGTTGTCCATCTTTTCATGTGCTTATTGGCCATTCATATATTTTCTTTTGTGAAGTGTCTGTTTAAATATTCTGTTCATTTCTTAATGGGGTAATTTTACTTCTTATTCTTGAGTTGTCTAATTTCTATATATTCTAGAATTCTGGACACAAGTTCTTTATCAGTTATGTTTGTCAAATATTTTCTCTCAGTTTGTGACTAGAAATTTTATTTTCTTAAGTGTCTTTTGAAGAGCACAAGGTTTTAGTTTTGATGAAGACCAATTTATCAATTTTTTCTTTTATGGTGTGTTCCATTTGTGCTCTAAGAAATCTTTGCAAACGCAAAATCACTTAAGAAGTTCTCCTGTTTTCTTCTAGAAGTTTTAGCTCTTACATGTATATGTATGGGGTGAAGGTTCAGTGTGTGTGTGTGTCTGTGTCTAGTTATTACGGCACCAGTTGTTGAAGACTGCCCTTTCCATTGCAATGCCGTGGCACCTTTGTTGAAAATCAATTTACCAAACGTGTAGGGTTTATTTCTGGATTCTCTATTCGGTTTCATTGATCTCTATCTTTGCACCAATTATCACTGTCTCGATTGCTGTAGCTTTATAAGTTTTGTGATCAGATAGTATAAGCCCTCCAACTTTTGTTCCTATTCTGTAGTGTTGGCCAAAATATTTCCATACACATTTTAGAATTAGCTTGTCAATTTTCACAAACATTTCGGATGAGATTCTGACTGTGTTGAAACTCTAACTCTTCCATAGTTTGGGGTAGAAGTCTCGCGCATCTGTGGCTAGACTTCTTAGGAATCTGAGACGTTTTGCTGCTGCTGTAAATGGCATCTTTTTAAATTTTCTTTTTCTGACTAACGTTGCTGGTATATAAACCTTGTACAATTCACCCATTAATTCTAATAGTTATTGGCAGAGTCTTTTGAATTTTCTACATGCTTAATTATGTCATCTGTAAATAACGACAGCTTTCCTTCTTTCTTTCTCATCTTCACTCCTTTTGCCTCCTTCTGTCTTTACTGCACTGGTGATGCTCTCCAGCACAACACTGAGAAAGACTTGTGAGTGCAGCCATGCTCGTCATGAAACCGATTTCAGAGGGAAAGTGTGGAAGGCAGGATAGCGGCCCCTAAAAACATCCACATCCTAGTCTCTGGAACTTGCGAGCATGTTACGTGCAAGGGGAGTGAAAGCTGCAGATGGGAATTACAGTGGTCTACCACAGACCTTCAGTAGGGAGAACGCCTAGATTATCCAGGGGGGCCCAGTGTAACCACAAGGGTCCTTAAAAGGGCCAGGCAGAAGTGGTGGCAGAGGGATGCGATAAGAAAAGGATTCAACCCACTGCAGCTGGCTTTGAAGATAGAGAAAGAGGGCTGCAGGCCAAGGAGTGTGCGAGGCCTCTAGAATCGGGAAAGGGCAAGGAAACAGATTCTCCCCAGGTGGCCCAGCACCCTCACACCTTTCGGCAGGCTCTCTTAAGTAGCTGCCAACTGAATGCTGGACAGCCCGCTCCCAAGTCTAATTATGGTCTGTGGATCCACCAGTTGGGATTGCTGGGACTACTGGGGACTCCTCCTTGGGAGCTGAGCACACATTGGCAAATTCTGGGTTCCTTGGCTTATAGGACCATCACAAGTCCCCCTTACTTTCCCTCTGCTTGCTCCTCCAAAATTGTTGCTCCCATGTGGCCTTGGTGCTATTGATGGTTTTAGCCCAAACTGCTCATTTCTGGAATCCACAGGGATATTCTATCACCTGATTTTAGAGAAAATGGTGTCACTGTGTTTTTTCTTTTGCTATCCTAGTTGCTCTGTGGTGATTTGGGGAGATTAAAAAAGTACCATAGGTGCTGCTATCCAGCCTCCAATAATTAATTTTTGATTTTAAAATGATTTGTATTTTCCTAATTACATTATAATGCCCAAGACAGGACTAAGCTAGACATCGGTAAGTAACAAATAAATGCAAGATGTTAGTGACTAAACACGAGCACTTATTGCTTGCTCATGTCACAGTCCAGCGCAGTCGGCAGGCTCTCCTGGGAGCTTTCCATGCAGTGACTCACACGCCTTGGCTGCCTCCATTTTGCAAACTCTTTGTTTATAGCCAAATGGGAAGAAAAGAAAGTGGTTGATTATGACCAATGATTGTAACGGTAGTGAGCCTTACTGTCAGGTCTAGAAGTCACCTGTGTCACTTGTTCCACCTCACTGGCCAGAACTTAGTCTCATGGCCCCACACTAACCACGAGAGAGACTTGGAAACATACAGCAACACTGAGCATCTTCTCTACAACTCTTTAGAGCTGCCCAAGCAACTCTGGGAAAGAAGGCAGACTGTGAAACATAAGACACCTTCTGTCTCTTCATATATATGTAATAGGATTTAAGATGTAATCTGATCAAAGAACATGTCACTATCATTTTTTAATAAGATTTTAATTCCATTAGTACAGAACTTAAAAAAAATTTTTGTGAATCAAATTATTTTCAAGTCTGCAAAAATCAATGTTTCCATGGTCTCCAATTGCTGATAAATTTGGGGGAGAATAAGGCAGCATATAAATAAATAAAATAAAATGTCTCCAATTATAAAGGTTCCAGTTAAATATGCCTTTTGGAATTATAAAGAATTAAACGATACCACTAATAAATGAAGTAAGAAAATAGTAGTTTGGCATCATTTATAAACATAAATGTGTTCAAAACATTATAAATATTCAATATACATACTTCAGGATAAATCTAGCCTTAAGACAGTGATTTTTATTACCATTAGTCTACCATGTTTGACACTACAATATACTTATTGAAAAAATTAACACAATATTTAAATAAGAATTAAGTTCCTGAAAATTTACAAAATATAACCAATGTACTCTGACTCGTAATCATATCTTAAATATTTCAACTTTACTTTCCTGGCCTAGTCAGACCATTTAAAAATATTTGCACACTATTTTAATTTCAGGACATAAGACAGTAGCAATTTACTAAGTTTTCCATTATAAAAATTAATATAGCAATTCTCAAAATACTGAAAAAACTGTTTTATAAAAGCAGTACCCACATCATAACAACTTATTTCTTTTAGAACACATCTTCAAAAGGCACATTTTGATTACTAGTGTTTATCTAAAGATAGTAGCTTGAGTGTTGGATTTCCAGTCAATCTTCCATTTTCTCAACATTAAGATGGTGGAGGGTCGCGGGAGGTAGGAGAACACAGGCTTCTGCTGGACTGCTGCTGCGACAGCAGTGTCTCTCGTCACCTCCCCGAGAGCGGGAGAAAGATGGGAGAGAGGGGGCGCTGCAGCTGTCTTCCGCCCTGATTTAACCTTCGGGAAATATTTCTTACACAAAAATATTTAATTTAAAAAAACCCACATGACAGAAAGCTTAAAAAACAAAGGGCCAAGACCACAAACTGCCCAGTTTAGTCTGAGTGGTGATGTGACTTGTTTGGTGCTTGACGAAGAGAACGAAACTTCCGCTTCTTTGGACTCACGTCTTCACATCAGGCTCCCCCCAATTTAAATTGCTTGGTGAGTTAAAAGTGCTACAGATTCCCAGGACAGCAGACATACTGCTATTCAAAATCACATATAAATGATCTCACGGTTATCTCTGTCATGTTCCCCTTTAATTAGGGCACGTATCCTAAAGTTGAATGTAATTATAATAACATCGATAATTTCAAGTAATCTACAATACTATTATTATTTGTAAGAGCTTATGTCCTAGGACCCCAAAGTGCAATCCAATACACACCTGGGGGTATGGTTTACTTTTCAGTGAAGTTTAATACTAACTGAAGTAATAAATTGAATAAGATTAGTACTCTGAAGTACTAATTAAGTACTTGATCAATGCAAGAAAGAAAAGAGAATTTTTAATTTTGGAATTTCAAAATATTAGGGATCTCCTTAATTTCATATTATTCCCCTCAAGTCTCAGTTGAATGTTTCCATTTTATAAAAAAGGATGTCTTTAGATTTTTTTTCTATATAAGAAAATAATTTACCAAAAATATCCTGAAGTACAAAAAAGAAAATGGGTGCCTGCTACCTAACCAAGATATAATTTTCTGGTCCCTAATAATGGTCATTTTAGGGGCACTTATTCAAGTTCTAAAACAGCAGCTTTTTAAATTAAGGCAACATTGCTTTATTCTAACCTGTTTTTCTATTAACTACTCTATTAAGAGTTCATAAGAGCAGTTTCACCCTCAAAGGCCTCTTATAATGTAAGAAGAGTTAACATGAACAATCCTCTCAATGTTTAAAAAGCATATAAAAAGTTATTCTATTCAAAGTCAACAAATATCTTACTTTTCTATTTGGAACTCTAAAGTAATTACAGTCATATCAGAATGTATAAACCATGAAATTACCTTTTAAACTAACATCAGCAACATTTTTTCTACAAAAATACAATATAGGAGATCTATCACTTCTTCCCTGAAACAGAAATTTAATATTTGGACAAAAAACTGTAAACTTTTGATTACATTCAAAAGATAACCTTTTAAAGACTTATATTATTTGAGGTTTTGGCAACTGGAGCTCTTAACAGCAGATTTACATTACTGTAACATATTAACAACAACAATGCCAAAGAGTTTGTTTCTCTTACTCTTACATCTGCTACCAGGAGGAAAAGAACGGCTTCCTGCAATGGAAAGTTTGGGTGAAGGAATTGCTGAGGTGGACAATCCGACCCTGACTTCCACCTCGACTGCGCTCCACAATCACGCACGGCATCTGCACCAGCTGGACAGGGCTCTTCCCGTCTCTCAATGCCTGAGTAAGATTTAAGATCTGTGGAAAGAAGAGAGATTTTCACCAGCTCAAAAAGATAAAAACCTTCAGTTCACGGACATTGTTTTAACCATTTATTCTTAACTACAATTTTTATTCCATCCATTTATGCCTAAGAGAGATTGTGATGAGAATTAACTGCTATAAATATATATCATACGGATACATGTATGTTTATACATACATATAGATACACACACACCCCTGCACAGAATTAGAATTAAATAACTTTTGCCAACTGGTGACTTTCAAATATTCCAGAAGACAACTATGTCCAGGAGCAGCAGAATCGGGGACTGAATAAAGTGAAGGGTTCCATAGACCCCATTCGACAGAGAGCCTAAACAAATGCTGGTTCACATAGTTTGATTTTAACTAAATACTTGCCTTATCCACTCATTTAACATATCCATTTATTGCATGACCACTGCATCCTAGGCTTTGTTCTAAGTGCTGAGGATTTATTTACAACAGTAAATAAACAAACAAAGTCCCTGCCTTCATAGAGCTTACATTTTGGCAGCAAGAGGAGTCAATAAACATTATGAATAAGAAAATGATACCACGCGTTGGAAGGTACAAGTGCCACGGGAAAGCATGACGCAAGGCGAGTAGGTTAGAGAATTTGGGAAGGTAGCCATTTAAAATCAAGTTTTAGTTAAGAGTTTAATCTTAAATAGGAAAAATAAAACTAGGAAAAGTAAAATATATTACATTCCATGTTTAAACGTATTCTTAGAATTGCTACTTGAGTATATAAATAAGCGTATGAAACCCTTACATACATACATAGCTTACAGCCTATTCTACTCTGTTCAGAGAAAATAAAATTTTAATAATTCATTTTCTTTTTTTCCTGCATATCAGGTAAAAAATTCCCTTTGTTATGTACTTTAGAAATAAGGATATCTCCTTCACATATTTGGAAATATTTAATACACAAATAGTATGCATTGTACTGGTTCTTGTAAAGGCTATTTAATAGTGATAAGCATAGAGGTTTCAACATAAAGTCATACTAATAAACAAACTTCATAATACTTTGAATAGTGTAAACTAGATGGTTTAGATCCTAGAAGATTTGAAGTATTTAACACAGCAGGAACATAAACCTTTACTAGCAACAGTAGTTACTCATTGTATTCATGTTTTAGGATTCCTTTTAAGTTCTTCCCTTAAAATATTCTAGGCCGGCTATATGTGGGTAACAAGGCAAAAAGAATTTATGAAATTTACATTCATAAGCATTGTTCTTATCACAAAAATAAAATGTGGGCACCAGCATGGGCTAAGGAATGAAACGTTCTGGTTAGTTTCCTCTTCTAGCTTTAAAAATCCTATTCTACAGGGGCCGGCCCTGTGGCCGAGCGTTTGGGTTCGCGCGCTCTGCTTTGGCGGTCGAGGGTTTCGCTGGTTCGAATCCTGGGCGCAGACATGGCACAGCTCATCGGGCCATGCTCGGGCGGCATGCCACATGCCACAGCTAGAAGGACCCACAACTAAAAATACACAACTATGTACCGGGGGGGCTTTGGGAGAAAAAGGAAAAATAAAATCTTTAAAAAAAAAATCTATTCCACAAATGTTCGCCTAAACACACTAATTTAAGTAACATCTAACATTTTCCCGACTCTAAAAACAATACATGATTTGTTGTAGAGAATCTGGAAAACAGAACAGTACAAAGAAAATCAGTCATTCTACAAGATTAACAATTTTCAAATATATAACAGCAAAAATCATTCAATCCTAAAACGACCCTAAATATTAATATTTCTTTGAGAGTTGAAAAGACACTTGATAAATGATCTTGCATTTATTTACTAAAGAAACATTTACTGAGTATGCACTGTGTTGGGAGGAGAGAAGACTGAATAGAAAGAAAAAAGACCACGTGAGCCCTTAAAGTACTCACACTCTAGAAGCAAACAGCACTGTCAACAAATAACTGCAACGCAGTGTGATCAACACTATAACAACAGTGGGCCTATGCCCTGACTTTAAAATCCCATCCCCTCCCCTCATACCACCCATTTTTTCATTTCTCAAAGAATAAACAAATCTATTATTATATGTTTAAATCAGAGAAGATTATTTTTGAAAACAGACTAAACATTGCAGGCAAGGAGAAATACTTCAGAATTCTCCATCTATGCCACATTTGCTAACTTGGTAGGGATGTAATAGTTACGTCACGGGCAGATGGTATAAACTCGCAGACTTCAACATACAGATTCTGCTTTCCTTTAGATAGTTCACTGGTCCTCAAATTTTAGTGGGCATAAGAATTACTGTGCTATCTACCTAAAACCACATATATTCTACTTTATGTTGATTTTCAATAGTAATGTGCCCCAAACGCTGACTGTAACATCAAATTTCTGAGTAAAACGTGACACCAGTGTATTCCCACAGAGTGCAGCAGAAATCAGAACTCCCCGGGGGGGGCAGGAGGAGCCTAGAAAAGCAGAGCTGGAGCCTGAAGGAAAAGCTGTTCTCCAGACGAAGAGGAAAAGGCACTGAGGAGGGAGCGGCACGCACAGGGCACCAGTGGGAAAGGGAAATGGGGAGGAAGAACAGAAAGAGTGGAGAGGCTTCGGGGAAGCCACAAATGACAAGAAAAGAGCAGGTGGACTGGTTGGAGGCAGACTGTGCAGGATCTTGTTGACTGTGCTCAAAGTCAGGACTTAAGCCTGTGCACACTGACAAATCATGGTAGTTTGAAGTCACAAAAGCCATGATCAGATTTGCTTTTAGAGACGGTTCTGGTCTAAGGTGAAAGAGGGACGGGCACAAAGGTAAAGACACCACATAGAAGACCAGTGAACGCAGAGAAGAGATAAGGGTCCCAGGCAGAGGCAAGGTCTAAATGTTGCAGACGTGCCAGGCTAAGCCCTTATTTTACAGATGTTACTCAACCCCCTTGGAGCCAAGTTTCCTCCACATAAAGTGCAGATAACTATGGAGAGCTGTTATGAGGATAAACAATAACAAACATAAAAATATCTAGTAAAGGGTCAAGTACTCAGGAGGCACTAGTCTTAGTTTCATTTTTTTTTAACATCAATTATTACTGAATCTGTAAATAAGCTTCTGGTTTATAAATCACTGAATAGAAGGTCACTGTGTATTCATAAAAAACAGTTTTATTCATTATTCCTGCCGTTTTTTTCAGATGTGTAAAATATATTTCACATTTCCCATAAATAAGTATTTTCTGAGGTCCAGTGTTCCAATAGGCACAGGTAGAACGGAAAATGAATGCTCTTATTGACCCTGATCATGACCTACTACTATTTAATGTAAAATTCAAAATATGGTTTAACTTTCATAAACATTACTAGTCCCAGATTTTATAAGAAATGCCTTCCTACTAGCTCCTAGTTCCAGTCCACACCCTCATGGGAGAATTAGAGCATGTCACTGATTATGTGTGTAAAACTAAAGACTTACTATAAACTAGGGCAAAAGCCTTGGTTGTACAAAGTACAAATCATGAAGTTCATTGGCAAAACTGGAGGGAAGACGGATTTAAGGGATAATTATAAATGATGGAAATAACGTAAGTACTTTGACTCAATTAAAGAACTAGCTGAAATAATGCTTCTGTTGTTTGGAACATAGGTCACTGCTATCTGTTTTTGTTAAGCCTCTGTTTCATAAGCACTGATTTACTTTAGAGAATAAAATAATACCTGATTTCTTATGCCAGATTTTTAAAAAAACTGTTAAAACCAGAAAGCTACATGGGGGCTGGCCCAGTAGCATAGTGGTTAAATTCATGCCCTCCACTTCAGTGGCCCAGGGTCCAGATCCCAAGCATGGACCTACAAACAGCTCATCAAGCCATGCTGTGGTTGCGTCCCACATACAAAAAATAGAGGAAGATTGGCATAGACGTTAGCTCAGGGACAATCTTCCTCAAGCAAAAAGAAGAAGATTGGCACATTTGTTAGCTCAAGGCTAATCTTCCTCACCAAAAAAACAAACCCAGAGAGCTACACGATCACGTACATGGTCAGGGTACCTTATTCTTTTTGGCTATCAGAAAGGTCAAAAGCATATTAAAATTTAAAAAACAAAAGAAAATCAAATTAACACACATAACCAAGGTATCACTTTCTTTTTTTCTTTCCCCAGATCTTGATCCTGTCATTTTTATATTGTATTACATACATTTGTATAATACTTGAACTCTTTCGTGAATGAGACAGGATATGAATAAATAAACCCAAAACAGCACATAGCTGCAGGTATATCTTTGTAATAGACCTCAAAACTGGAATGTCCCGTATCTTTTCAGATATGCATTTTTAAATTTAAATTCCTCATGTACTAACTTTAATCAATAATTAGGGCTTCCAAAATAATTTACAGCTTTTATTTTTTTTTTAAATCCTAAGACAAAGATATATCTTTAGGGATAAAAGAATTCCAGAAGATGGAGCATATCGATAAGTCAATTTGTTTCAAGCAAAAAGGTCAAATTAGGGCAAAATTACCTATCTTTGCCTGAAAATTTAGCTCAAATGTAGTTTGTGATGGTAACACTTGCAACATAATTACAATCATTCATCACTCAAGCCCTTCATTTATGCCTCAACTACCAAAAATGCCTCCCCACAACGCTCCCTGGCTCTAGACTCTTCATCCGCTGAGCAAATCTGTACCCTACTGTCCAGTCTGACCTTCCGCAGTGGTTCCTCATCTTTGTTGGGCTAGCAACGCATTTAGCTGAGATATAAATCTTATGGGCTCTCAGGCCCAAAATACACATATAAACACAATTTAATGCACAACTTCAGGGAGTTCGTAGACGAAACCTAGGATAAGGTCTCCTCTCCAGAAATCCCAGTCTCAACACAACCCTTTTTAATGCTAAATCTCTAACTGCTCCAATCCCTTCTACGTGGAATCTATACTCTCGCACTCAGGGCCCTCCATGATCTGGCCCTATCTTAATCCTCCAGGCATTTCACTTGCTATTCACAACTCCCGAGTCCAGCAAAGCACTGCATAAATGCAACGGGGCACAGAGATGTACAAGCTAATAATCCATCCCTTTTCCCTGACCCCTGCTCTCCTCATCAGAGCAAGAGTTCCATGAGAGGAGGAACTGGGTTTTGCTCACTGCTTTATCTCAATGACTAGAACAGTTTCTGGCTCTAGTTCTGTCAATAGATATTTGATGAATGAATGATTATCTAATTTAATTGTATTTATTTGCTAACGTTATATGATAATCAATGCATAAACTAGACTCCTATTCTTTGCCACAGATATGCAACAAACAGCTATCTTAAATTAAATGCATATTTTAGGAAGAAAAAGTTAATTAGTAAGTCATTGAAAGACAATGTTTACAGTATAATTTATTTTCATTTCAAGTCCGCCTTTCCAAATCTAAATACTATTAATAGAGTGGAAGAACCAGATGTCGGGTCTGTAGGTCAGCCCCGCCTGCAGGTCCACATCAGCAGACCTCATACCTTTTATCTCTAATTAAAGGAGTTGAGAAGGAGTAAGAAAACTGAGTCACAATTAGTACTTTCATGCCTCAATCAGTGCTCAACCTTGGTGACATGGTTATTTACTGACTGTTCTAGCAAAGGCCAAACATATACGATGAGGAAAATAATTAACAGGCAACAGAACTTGGCATTGAACATCTAAGCAAGAAGACTTGAGGAAGAAAAAGATAACACTCAGGAAAGTAGTTATCAAAATGAGGACAAAGAATTCACAGTAGAGGGAAACTGGCTGTCTAACAATATACAAGGTCAAAAATATCTAATTTATAAGACAATAGAGGAAAGATACCATCAAAATCAACTTCATTTCTAACCATCTGAGCTATTTTGGTTCAGCATAAAAGGCAGTACTGAGAGTTGCATCTTTGGGTCACAACAGAGAAGAAAGCTGACTACTGTTTCAAAGGGAGATTTTTTTCCTTAATGAACAAGAACATAAAAAGGGGACCTACCTGACCCCTCATCACAGACATCTGACTTTCGAAAGTGGCTTTGTCAAATCGTCTGTCCATCTATCACAGAAAGGAAAAACAGCATTACAATCCCAAAAATCAAGATCTTTGAAACATATATTTGAAAATAAATGAACCCTTCAACTTAGCACGTAAGGTCAATTAGAAAGCTTTCCTAATGATAAAATAACATGAAAAGAGTGTTTTTACCTGACGTATTTTTGAATACCCTCCAGAATGACAAGAATAGTTTATTTATACTCGAATTTGTTCCAAAAACGATTTAAAATGACTTTCCAGTCAATGGGTTTAGGCTTTTTAGAGAGAATTAAATCATAGCAGGTCACCAAACATTTATTATAATTTATAGAGTAATTTTGTAAAAATTCAACTTTTGAAGAAGAAAACTTCCCAAGTTTTAATGTGGTCTCACTAAAAAGAGTACTCATAGGAAGTGCAACTTCACAAATTCAGGCTCCTGCAGAGTAAACTGCTGATTTCTCTCTGCTCTGTCAGGGCCACTGCAAGCAGTGCTACCTGAAGCAATAAACTGCATGTCAGCTCTATCAGGAAAATCTCTACATTGTAAGATTTCATTTTCTACAATAATTAAAACTAAAAATGTATTTACCTTAAAAAGTTCATGAAGATCTTCACATAAATCTTGCACAAAGTTCATATCAGAAATACACGGTAGAATCAAGTTTCTTATTTCTTCAGAAAAAGGAACTTTTGCTTGAGGAAGCCAAGCCCAGTGAAATGGATCTGATAGAAAAAATTATTCTTCTAATCAGTGGGGCGAAATAGCTTATTTAGATCCACATTTATCCTGGTTCTTTCCTACAATTATCCTTTGCCATCTAAATTATTTGGATTCTAAGTTTGGATGATCAATTTGAATGGTAAAGCACAGTAAGGTATTAAATGAACTCATTTCTGAGTTTTAAATAGTAAAGAATAAGAGGGCTTTTTTGTTTTTGAGGAGGATTAGCCCTGAGCTAACATCTGCTGCCAATCCTCCTCTTTTTGCTCAGGAAGACTGGCTCTGAGCTAACATGCGTGCCCATCTTCCTCTACTTTATATGTGGGATGGCTACCACAGCATGGCTTGCCAAGTGATGCCATGTCCACACCAGGGATCCAAACCGGCGAACCCCGGGCCGCCAAAGCAGAACGTGACTACATAAGTGCTGCACCACCAGGCCGGTCCCAAGAATAAGAGTTTTGATAATGACTCTATCTCAAACAGCCCCATACCAAAAAATATATCTGAATCTCTGGTTCCTGAGTTTGGATATTGGGGGATATCTATAATTTGTTTACAGCCCTGGATCAAATACCATGGCTGAGGTCTCCCTGCTCTTCCAGCCACAAATCATCAGGAACTGACCACTTATTTATCTGTGTGTGTGTGTGTGTGTGTGTGTGTGTACGTATATTGTATGATGTTGTAAAATTTTAAATCATTACTAGGTAAATAGGTAAGTGGCTTTAAGGGATAAATGATCCAAGACTCTGGGCTAACTCTAGTTCTCTCCCAAGAGGACTATTAAATCTACACATTGCCAGGACTAGAAAGATCTGTAGAGTAATGGAATCTTCTAGAGAGGGGGCATATTCAGATTCCTGCAAGAACGTGTAAGGCTTATGACATTATGATCGCCCACACAACTACTGTGGGTACATCCAATGAGACCTCCAGCTTTGATGGCTCCCACCATTTAGAAAGCCCTGAGGAAGAATCTGCCTTTAGAGTCATTCCTTCTTACTTCTCTCTTATCTATCTCTTCATACACTGTGGGAAGGATATAGTCCATTCTGAAGAAAGCCTTTTGTCTGGCCCATATCTCCCTGGACTATGTCCAATTTCTTTTCACCTTTTCCCAACCAATTACATAAAAGAAAAGCCCTTATTCTATGCCTGCCTCTACTTCCAATCCCTATCCTTTAACTTCTACTCTCATCATTCAAACTGTCCCCCTGAGACCACCAGTCATCTCATAAGGGTCTCTCCGAAGGCCCATTTGCAGTCTTCACACTACTTAATGTCTTCGTAGCAAGCTCTCTACCATCTCCCTCTGTGAAATTCTCTCCGAGGTGGCTTTGAAGATACCACTCTCAAAGTTTACCTTCTGTCTTTTAAGCTACTTCTCTCATTTGCTGGTCTTTCCTCTCATCGTCAATGTCACCATTCCCCTAGATTCTGTACTTAGTCTTATCTCTCCATTCACTACACATTCATGGAACATTAACTGAGTACTCAGGTACCTCGAATTGTCCCAGTGATGCTACTTGTTCACTATGATTTCCCCGGGTGATAGCAAACACCACCATGACTTCCACGACCAAGGTGAGAGTTTAACAACTATGTCCTCAATACCAATTCCTCTTTAAGGTTCAAGATTCTTAATCCCTAACTGTGTCTTTGGTAAAATTTCCCAGATGTACTGTAGGCACCCTAAATTTAACATTTTTAAAGTATAATTTGCATATAGATTCCAAACCAATTAGAGGAAAAAAAATGGAACAAAGACATCTCAAGTTAGTTCAACAAAACATAGGAAGGGAAAAAAAGAAAAAAGTAGAATTCATGGAAAATAGAAAAAAAATTACATGGCAGGAAAAGTTCAAATGCATCAGTATTTATTGAGACTTAAACTAAATGTACCTATTAAAAGAAGCTCAGATTGGGTAAAAAATATCCAGCTAAGTGCTGTATATAAGTCACATGCTTAAAAAAACTGCTAGAAGTTAAAAATTAAAGTCTTCAATAATACCAGGTAAATGCTAATAAAAAGAAATGAAATATAGCAATGCTATAACAGACAAAATAAGAAAAAGCAAAAAACATTAAGAGGGATAAAGTGGGATATAGGTAACATTGATAAAAGAACAAGCCACTAGCAAGACAAATGCTGGGGCTTTATGTGTGTGAAATACAAAGCAAAAAATGTACAGAAATGCAAGAAGAAATTCACAAAATCACAATCATAGTGAACTTTAACATCCTCTCAAAAATGAACAGATAAACTGGTCAAAAAATAAGTCAAGAACATGATTTAACTAACAACTAACAAGCTTTAATTAGCAGACAGATACACCTTTGTGCCCCAAAACATTTTTTCAATATAGTCCTTCAAATTGGCCATCTATCAGATTACAAAGGAAATACTAACAAATTTCACACAGCCACATTCACAGATCACAAAGCAATAAAACTAGAAAATAACAATAGACATTTTTTTTTAAAAAAATGAGATCACCTAGAAATTTTAAAATCAAACAAAATACTTCTAATTTACTTTTGTCAAAAAGAAAATCTGAAAGTATGACTGTGTAAAACAGAACAACAGAGCAACACTTATCCAATCTACTGTTTAGTCAAAACGATACCTGGGAATCACGTATGGGAAAGCAATATAGGATGAACATAATAGAAGAAAAGAATAATAATGGAAAACATAAATCAGTGAAAGAGATAAAGCTAATAAACAAACTGAAAACCTGATTAATAAAAGGCCAAGTATCTGAAAAAAAGCAAAAACTAAATAAATATAAAAAGGCCAACACTTTACAGTAGACAAATCTTTGGCAAGTTTAATGATGAAAAAAGCCCACTAAGAGTAGGAATTTAAAAGAGGTATAATCATAGATAGAGACTATTTTTAAATTACACAGTATTTCAAACATATACAAAAATCAAAAAACTAGCACAATGAACTCCCATATTCTGAATGACCTAATTCAATGATTCCCAAATTTCTATAAAATTTGTTTCTTCTATCTCCCTGTTTTGCCTTCCCCTACGTAATTTAAGGCAAATTCCAGACATCATTTCATTTCACCCCTAAATACTTAATATGCATAGAGGGGACTTTTTAAAATTATGAGAGCATTCTATAAAAAACTTTATACCAATAAATCTACAACTCAAGATCTCATGGGCAATTTCAAGCAAAATAAAAATGTCTAAAACTGGCTCAAGAAGATGTAGAAAACCGGACCATTAACCGCAGGAGAGACCGGTAAGCAAGTTAAAGCACTACTGACTAAAAAGGCGGGAGGGAGGTAGGCCTAAATTGTTTTATATATGAATACTGCCCCAAACATTAAAGTCTTACCAAAATATTAAAATAGATAATTCCCATGTTATATGTATTTTTAAAATTTGAAAACTATCAAATTTTTTCTTAAAAGGCAAGCCAAAATATCCCAAGTAGACACAGTCATTCACAGAAAAGCAAACAATATGCAGCAAGACCCACCATGAGTGCCTAGAACAGAGCCCTAATGAAGGATGACACTTTATGCGGTTTTTCCTCTGCTATTTTGAAGAAAAGTTTTGTGCCCTTGCTATTCTGGAAAAGTAGTAATTACAGAATCTATAGAAGGTTCTAAATACTCACATGCTCTCCACTCATCAGGATGTTTGAAAGGAAATGCCAGACCGTTATCAATTGCAGCTATTTTAATAAGTGGTTCTCTATCATCAATCCATTCTGCTTCCTAAAGGAGAGAAAAATGGTCTGTTGAGAAAAAAGATTTACATAAATATTTCCAAAAGATAAAATATTTACAATAATTATTGAAGTTTAAAGACATTTTATCTGAAGAGCGTATAAAAGTAAAAATAAGTTTCCAGGAGGCACAAATTTACCCCTGAAGGGAAGAGGCTGCCTTAAAAATCGGTAAGAATTTTATAATCAGTCTTCTTAAATTTGATATCATAAATTTGCACAGTAATGGCTTCCTTTTTTTCCTCTTTGAGGAAGAGGGCAGGGATTTTTAAGACTTAAAAATGTGTTGTTCTGGACAATTTATAGCTAGATGCACTGCTTAAATGTATATTTGCAAAATATTGATATTTTTAACATAACAACAAAGTAACCTTATTAAAATCTAGTCTTTCCTAGGGTTCCATAGAAATAATTAGTTCAAATACAAAATGTTTCTAAATAAAACTCCCCAAAGACCAGAGCTAAAGATAGCAAAGTCCAGTAGAAAGAACCTCAAGATACTCTTGACTACACAATGTAAGGCCATTCCTAACTTTTACATTCTTTTGTAGCAGAAACGAAGACCTCAGGAGCAAGAGGGCTTTGGTGTTAAAGAGTACTTGCTATTATCTAAAGATAGGTGGTGGCCATTATTAAGTGGTCTAGGTAAAATAATAAAAGGTAAAAAAAATAATTTTTAAATTAAAAGTATTAGAGTGAAGGTCCATGTGATATATACCAAGTTTCTTTTAGTTTATATAAAATATCTTACCTCAATGAAAATGCACAAAATACTTAAGAGCAAAAGAATGAAGTTTTCAGTAAAATCTAACTGCTCAAGATATACCAATAAAATATATTCAGGAACTATTATAAATATGTATGGTTATGTGTGTATTTCAAGCCTATTTCTGGTATAACTGCCATTTATTTTTATTTTTATCATTTTTTTCTTTTTACAACTTTACTGAGTTGTAATTTACACCCAATAAACTTCACATATGGAAGTGTACAATTTGATAAGCGTTGATAGATGTGAAACCTTCAGAGAAAGTTTCCTTGTGTCCTTCTCTCCCGCAAACCGCCCCCCGCCAGGCAATCGTCTGCTCTCTGTCACTAGGGATCAGTTTGCACATTTTAGATTCTTATAGAAATGGAATCAGATGGTATGTTCCCTTTGTGTGTAGCTTCTTTCACTCACCAGGATTTTGAGATTCATCCACATTTTTGAGTCATAAGACTCAGAAAGAAGTAAAGTAGTAACATATAAACATGTTGACCAAAAATACTAGGAGCCTTTATTACATAAAAGCAAAATAAATCTGGTGGTCCTAAAAAACGTACCAAGCCCTGTGGCCGAGTGATTAAATTTGCGTGCTCTGCTTCAGCAGCCCAGGGTTCACTGGTTCGGATCCTGGGTATGGACCTACACACCACTCATCAAGCCATGCTGTGGAGGCATCCCACACAGAAAAACTAGAATGACTTACAACTAGGACATACAACTATGTACTGGGGCTTTGGGGAGAAAACAAAAAAGAAAAGAGGAAGATTGGCAACAGATGTTAGCTCAGGGTAATTTTCCTCACCAAAAAAAAAAAAAAAATGTATCAAGCTGGTATCATTCTTCTATTCTAATACAACACAAAAACATAAAGCTGCACAGAGATTTAAACAAACAGCATAAAAAATGCAATATAAACAGGGGAAGGAAAGAAAAAAGATAAGAAAAACAGAAAAAGGAGATAAAACTAAGGATCTAACTGAAGGAAATGAGGAAATACAGGAGAATAACCTAACTTTAAGGAATCTTTTACAGAATTGATAGTGTGTGTGTGTATATATATACATATATAATTTTTAAATTTCCTTACCTTAATTTCCTTTCCATATTTCTGCTTTTCATATCTGATTAACCAATTATCATTTCCCCTGTCTTTCAAAACAACAACAAAAATCTGTCACTTCATTTTTTAATATCAAGGAAAAAAATCCAGTCAGCTCTTGATTTTCAAGACCTTCCTTAGTTATCTGTGGCATATGTTTACATATTAAAGGCTCCAATTTAACACATACAAATAAAAAATACTCATAAATGTTAGCTAACACTTATTGAGCATTTACTCCGTGCCAGAAATTGTTGTAAGTGTTCAAGGTGTATTAATTCATTTAACCCTCATAACCACTCTGTGAGCTATGTACAGTTATTGTCAAGAACTATTAAATCACGGTTATTCAAATCAAGGATAACTTCTCTCCACCTGCGGAGGAAAAAGCATCCACCCCTATTACTAGGCAAATTTCTGGGTAGGCTCTCAATGATGTCTGTATAAACTTGCTCCAGACTTCACACTTACTATTAAGAAACTAAATCTAGAAAAGTATATAACGCTTTTTCAGAAACTAACATAAATGAGCAAACATTCTGAACCTGTGATTCTCAAACTTCAGAGTGCGTCAGAACCACCTGGAGGACTTGTTAAAACACAGGCTGCCAGCCCCCACAAGCAGAGTTTCTGCTTCAGCAGGCCTGGGGTGGGCTCCTCTGAGAAGATGCGCGTCTAACCAGGCCCCACGTAATACTGAGCCTGACAGTGCAGGGAACCACATTTGGGAACCACTGCTACGGATTCTCTACATCCTTGCTCCCTACCAGCACAGAGAAAATTAAGAGTTTAATGTATTTACAGACTACACTAACAGTTACCTAAAGTCAAAATAAGCACCTAAAGTAATTTACACAATCAAGTTTTAATTATTCATATTATGCAGATAACATTTCTACTAACTGGCTTTGTCCCACTGACAAGAAACTCCCCCAGGGCTAGGAACTGATCTCTGTCGCCGGGCAGGAGCTTCTTACGAGTCAGACTCTCCGGCACAGGATTAATTCTGCCCAGGAGAGTCAGTGCAACATCTCTGTTCTCCAAGGCAGGTAGAGAAAAAAGGGCCTTAAGACTTCCGCAGCAAAATTTTATGTCTTTGCCTTAGATAACAAGAGTTGAATGCAGTTTGAAAGCTAACAAAATATGAGCAAACAAATGAGAGAAGTTCAATACCTGTATTTCTGATGATGTAATCCAAAACAACTAATCGTTCAAACTGTGACTGAAATTGTTTTCTAATATTCTCAGGCAAAGGGTCAGCTTCAAATTTCCTAAGCCAATATTCAGCCTCCTTGTAACCTTCAACAAACAACTGAAAGGAACCAATCTACAATTTTAAGAACTATAGTTAGAAAAGAAAGTACAAGAACAAAGGGATTACTTCTTAATGTCTCTGCAGTACTGTGATAAGATATGATATATAAACACGAAAAGAAAAATAGAAGAGTTTAACTAATTTAGATAAGCCACATTTATCAAGAAAACTATTTTATATACTAATTTAAATACTCACATAAAGAATACACAGCAAATTAAAAAGGCTCAACCCTAGACTTTCAAGGAGGACAGCAGCTATTTTTGGATAATTAAAAAAGAAAACACAGGGGCTGGCCTCGTGGCCGAGTGGTTAAGTTCTCGCGCTACACTTCCGTGGCGCAGGATTTCGCTGGTTTGGATCCTGGGCTCGGACATGGCACTGCTCATCAGGCCACACTGAGGTGACATCTCACATGCCACAACTAGAGGGACCCACAACTAAAATACACAACTATGAACTGGGGGGACTTGGGGAGAAAAAGCAGAAAAAAAAAAAGAACATTGGCAACAGTTGTTAGCTCAGGTGCCAATCTTTAAGGGGGAAAAAAAATAAAATACACGTGCCCTCAAGGTGATACTCTGACGAAGAATGCTGGTTTCTAAAAATAATCATTAAAGTGAATTTAATTATGGAGGCCAAATTTTACACCTATCCTGGTTATTTAACAACAGTGCAATTTTGTTTTACTGAAAAAATACTTCAGGATTCTTTTTACAACATAAAATACAGAAAACAACTTTATTTTAAAAAAGAATGAATTCTTTGTGCAGATTAAAGATCCTGTCATAAACTTTGAAGAATGAATCAATTAATCATAACTTCTAGTGGTTTTTTAAAAAATCCTTTCCTTGAAGCTATGTCCATGTTAAAAGGCATTTCTATCACTAAAATCACTAGCTAACATTAAACAAGGTATTGAAGAAGGAAATACAAATTTAAACATCACAGGATGTACAGGTAATGAGTAACCTAGTTCACCTTGTAAATACAAACACATCACCACAAGAAAATCTATTTCTTATCCTAACACTTTCTGTTTTTGCTGTTGGCATGAAATTTTAATGATTTTCTAAAGGTTTTTTCTAAAGCACTTATTAAGTCCTAGTAGTCAGAAATATGGAAATAATATCCTTTTTTAGTCACACTTTACTTCAGCATATCCAAGGAGTAACAGGCCTTGTAAAAATGTTCAAACTTTCTGCTTATCTTCCAATACAATTTTAAAAACAAGTTAGGTTAACCATGATTTTCTACTTAAATTCTTTTATCTAGATAAAAGCATAGCAATAACAAGACAACAAGATCACAGGTCAAATATATTTTTAAAAAATAAAGCCTAGAGATTTTTCTAGAATGCCTTTCCCCTTAACCCTCTCTACCCTTGCTTAGCTAGCTGCTAATCATCCCTTAGGTTTATTTAAAAGTGATGAGAAAACACAGAAGCCAGTATGTAGTGAGTAAACACAGTCACTACCATTTACTTTACTGTGTGCCAGGCACTGTACCAAGTTTGCTGCTGTGAGTGCCCCCGAGTGGACTCTGACTCCCAGTGACCCTGTGGACAGCAGGGCGGAACCGTTCCCTGGGCTTTGTGCGCCATCCTCTCACCTTCAGGCGCTCTATCAGACAATGCACCACTGCTATTCATAGGGTTTTCATGGCCAATTTTTTTGGAAGTGGGTGGCCAGGTCCTTCTTCCCAGTCTGTTTTAGTCTGGAAGCTCCTCTGAAATCTGCCCACCATGGGTGAGCCTGCTGGTATTTGAAATACCAGTGGCACAGCTTTCAGCAACACACAGCTGCCACAGTATGACAACCGACAGGCGGTGTAGTTCCCTGACCAGGAAAGAAACATGGGCCATGGTGGTGAGAGCACCGAATCTTAACCACTACACCACCAGGGCTGGCCTCTGTACCAAGTACTTGACATAAATTTCATTTTATCCTCACAACTCTAAGAGGCAGTTCTTACCATCCTCGTTTTATAGAAACTGGGGCTCAGAGAGTAAGGAACTTGTCCAAGGTCTCAGAGCTAACTGGCAGAGAGGCTGAGTGAAACCCAGGTCTGCTTCTCGACCCGTGCTTTCAGCCATCACATTATAGAGCCTTAGATAGAACCTCCTCTTAGAAACACTTCCTAGCCGTCCAAACTGGGTGAGACATCCCATCTCTATCCTCTCTGAGCTCCCTGAACTTAACCAGCCTAACAGCTTTATCATATTGCATTGAGACTGCTTGTTTACTATAAGCTCTTTCAAGACAAAATACTGTTCTTTTCTATTATACCCACAGCCCACGGCACAACATATAGCACACGGAGCTCGGGTAATATGTGCTGAACTGCCCCCCAAATAAAGCTTCTCATAGTAACTTACCTTAGGAGGGAGGCCTATCCGATGAAATTTTCTACCTACTTTTGGCACTTTCTCTAAAGCATACTTTTTGCCTCGAGATTTTGCACGGTCAATTGTACTGTAGTTAAATGTCTCACTGACAAGCCAAACCACCTAGAAACATACAGTTTAGAAAAATAATTATTAGAATTTGCATTATAGTGTTTCTATCCGTATACACCATGAAACTCACTCTGAGGCTGTAAATTAGCAGTTTAACACTATACCAAAGTCAGTTAAGTGGCACACATTTTTTTTCTGAGAGAGGGAGCCTAAAACTGGCTAGTGGAAGAAAGAAGTAATAGTCTTGAAATGTAGAATTAAGAATGAGCATTTTGAGGAAGTCTTCAAGTAGAAATTTACAAAGACCAAAAAGAAAAAATTAGCGTTCTTTTGAGCACATTGGTTATCTCTACCTTCAACAGAATTTCTAGATCCCTGATCTTTTCCTGTTTCTAAATGCTAATTCTTAGGGCCGGCTCAGTGGCCGACTGGTTAAAGTTCCGCACGCTCTGCTTTGGCGGCCTGGGGTCGCGGGTTTGGATCCTGAAAGCAGATCTACTCCACTCATTATCCACAAATAAAACAGAGGAAGATTGGCATGGATGTTGGCTCAGGGTGAATCTTCCTCACCAAAAAAAAAAAAAAAGACAAAGAAAAGAAGAAATGCTGGTTCTTTCTCCTCTTTTTGTTAGCATCATCTCAGCTCACACAAGTGAGAGATATTCCCTTGGATGCTTTGTCTATCTACACTAGAATCAATTTATTAATCTCTCATGACTCTCGCTTCTCAAAAAAGGGGCTCAACTTTAGGCTCTGTCATTAGAAATATTACTAAAGTGTTCGCAGAGAAGTAGGCTGTAAATTAGAAGAATAAGATTAGGAACAATTTCTCCTTTACCCTTGTTTTAGGTACAATGCCCAGATGAAGCTTTCTATCCACAAGGAAGGCCCCAGCTTCGGAAAGGTATCCCTGATTAGGAAGCAGGCAGCCTCGACCAAAGCAGCAAGGGCAGCAGACCTTATGAACATACTTGGTCCATTTTGGGTTCAGTTGACCATAAGGCTCTTCTGATTTGGGTTTAAACACACCGATAATTTTCTATATAAAAAAGTAGAAATTTTATTAGGCTTTTAACATAGAGAAATAATGATCCATAAAATGCATTCTGATCTATCTTTTTCTACTTCTTTCCACCACAGATTTGCAGATAACCCTTAAATATTAAAAGGTTTAGTTCCAATCACATTTTTACATTCATTCTCACTTGACAAACTAAAATTAATAATCTTTTGGGCTAGTGGTTTTCAAACTGTGCTCTGAGAAACCCTTGGGCAAGTGAGAGGAGGTAGGGCAGGGATCCAAGGCCTCAAGCCACTTAACCAGATCAACTTTGATTTCCCCTGTTTTATATTACTGGGCTTCCAAGTTAAGAAAGAGTTCCACTGATTTTAAAATGTTTGAAAACCACTGCTCTAGATCAAACAGTGTTATCATTCAATATCCATTAAATATCCAAGTTAAATGTTTATTGTCTATTTCCCTCACTAAATGTACATTCTAAAAAGGCAGGGAGTTTGTTAGGTCTGTATCCCAAGTACTCAGAACAGTACCTGGTACACATTAGGCATTCAAGCATTTGTTAAATAAACTAATAAATCCAATGACAAAAAGTAGTCTCTAAAATACAAAGGTAATGATAGGATACAATGAATATCTATACTGTCAGAATCTCCTACCCTAATCTTTTTCCACTTACTTTTTTATGAACAAATTTTAAATAAATTCTCTCCTCTTAAAAAAAAATTTGCTCATGGATGTCTATAAGTCTATAATCTTTACTATTGGTCTGATAAAATATATTCATATTAAACTTAAAGGCTGAATTATCCTTAGACAGGAAATAAAAGTCTTATTATAATTTTAAGTATATAACTGCTTTATAATGCAATAAAGTCTGAGCCACCAGTAAAAAAGTCAACAAGAACAAATTAAGAAATCAAGGTTAGAATAAAGATTGAGAGACATTACCTACATATATATACACAAACCCCCCAAAGACTATATTTTAAAATATAACTTCAATTTTTGCAAAAACGATTTGGATGAAATCATAATCCTTCTTCCTGAAAAAGGAACTGCTGGCTGTGCATCATTCAGAAAGCGTTTAGAAAAGATAATATCGATTTCTGAAAAATTCCAGACTAAGTGGAACAAAGTCCCTTGTCAACTTCTCTTTTCTGCCCTAGAATTATACTCTGGTTCCTTTCACTTTGTCACATTCCAATGCCTTCAAACTTCAGACTGCCGCGGCTCCTTCTTTGGTATAATGCAGGAAAAAAATATTCCTAGGGAAAAATAAACCTTTGGAAAAAATCAAGCACTTTGTAAATGACATTAAACAGGTTTTGAACGTTTAAACTTCTACTCTGCCTGGCTAACATGGTTGTAGGCTGCTGTAAGGTAAGGACTTAGGAATATAAACTCAACAAGTCTACAGCTGAACGTGAGTATTCCATGAATGCTTGAAACCAAATATTAAAATAGGAAAGCAACCTATGATTCAAAATGAATAGCTCTATTTCTAAATAGCAGAGTGCTTTAAAAAACAAACAAACAAACCTGACCTTTATTTCTGAAAAAGAGGGCGCAATCAGATTTATCAGGAAAACATCTTCAGAAATTCATAACGACGCCACATTTAAATTAATGTTTTCCAAAATTTCTGTTATATATAGTAGGTCTGTGAAATTCTCACCCTCTTAGGATCCTTCACAAAGTAACTTCCACTTGAACCTTGAGAGATTCTTTCTGGAAAAACTCCAAATTCTATTGCTTGCTCTGCTTTCAATATAATATCAGCAAATTCTGGATCATCCAAGAATGTATTCAACTCTGAAGAACCAACATTTATTGCATTAAGAAAAGCAATGTTAATATAGAACGTGAAGAAGAAGAAAGACCAGCTATGACAATGCTCATAATATGAACCTGTAATATTGGATTAGGTTATTAACATTAGGGCACTAAGGTACAGAAAAACGTAATCAAGTATTGTATGGGCTGCTGTGATCTTCTTTTGTTTTTTTCTCTAACCCCACTTTTCTTTAAGCTTCAAGTAAGGACACATGGAAACAAAATCTCTATTTATTGAAATAATCCCACTGATACCTCACATTACTTTGAACTCTTCCCTTCCAGTGATTCTGTTCTCCATCCTACTTCAGCCTCTGACTGCACAGTCATCCTTCAGATTGGTCATTAGCAATACCTGCAACCTCTCCATACTTTCAACTTCAAGCATGTTCTATCTTCCTAGTTCATTTCCTCTGGGACCGAGTCCAACAACTCTTTGATCCACCAGGACCTACAAAGCACTCATCTACTATGCCGTCTCTGGTCATCACCCTCTTAATGTCCTTACTTCCCTCCCTGGCCAGCTCAAATTATGGTCAATCATCACATAATCATTCTCTTCTTCCCTCATGTCATTATGACCCCCTGGAAAAATCCCAATCCTGGTCAAACCCAACTATCTGCTGGCTATGGCTGTGCCCGGACAGCTGAACTTGACTAGACGAACACACACAAACACAATGCCTGGCCTCACTTTAAATTCATCACCACAAACCTCATGTAGGTAGGTCCTTCATATTGCCTGGGAAGCATACTACCTTCCTGTTATGGACTGAATGCTTGTGTCCCCTCAAAATATGTTGAAGCCCTAACCACCACTGTGCTCATATCGGGAAGATGGGGTCTTTGGGAGGAAATCAGGGTTAGATGGTCCTAAGGGTGGGATTACTGCCCAGGGCACTCCCTCTCTCCCTCTGCCACATGAGGACAGAGTGAGAAGGCGGTCATCTGCAAGCCAGGAAGAGAGTCCTTATCAAGCACCTGATCATGCTGGCACCCTAATCTTGGCCTTCTCAGCATTCGGAGCTGTGAGAATTGAATGTCTGTTGTTTAAGCCACCTAGTCCATGGTTTTTTGTTATAGCAGCCTAAATTAGGACAACTCCCCTGGTGCAAAGACTCTTCCACTCTTCTGGACAACTATCTTATACCTTCTCCTCTCCTCAAATTCCCAACACCTCCTCTCTCAGCAGATGATCTAGCTTCCTGTTTCACTAAGAAAAGAGAAGCAACAGAAAAAACTATCATCAGCCCTCAGCACAACATCTACCCACTCACATCCTCTGCCTCCCACCTATTACCACAGATGAACTGTCCACGCTCTAAGATCAACTTCTCCACGTTACAAACTAGACTCTACTTCTTCCTGAGTATTCTAGGACACTTCTTCCCTGCATCAATATTTCCCTCTCTGTTAGATCATTTCCATCACCATACAAAGCATGTTATAATTTTTTTCATCTTAAAGCAAATCTTGTTTAACCCCACAATCCCCCTAAGACTCCCTCATTTCTTTGCTTCCCTTTATAGCAGAAGGCCTCTGTAGTTATTTACATTTACCATCTCCAATTTTTCTTCTCCCATTCTCTCTTGACCTCCTTTCAATCAGGCTTCTGTCCCACTCCATCGATAGAATTTTTGTTAGGGTACAGTGACTTCCACATTGCTAAATCCAATCTCAGAACTTATGTTCCTTAATCAACACCACTATTTGACTCTGCTGGTCACTCTCTCCTCCTTGAAACACTTTCTTCACTTGGCTTCCAGGATACCACTTCTCTAGGTTGTCCTATTTCATCGGCTCTGCTTTTTCAGTCTCCTTGCTGGCTCATTTCATCTCCCTGACCGCTTAACTTTGGAATGCCCCAGGTTTAATCCATGGTACTCTTCTCTTCTGTATCAACACTGACGACTCCCAAATTTGTACCTCAAGTCTGGACTTCTGCCTTGAACCCCAGATTACTGTACTCAACATCTCTACTTAAATGTTTAATAGACAGCACAAACTTTACCACCCAAAACTCAATTCCTCATTTTTACCACCCCCCTCGACAGCTTCACTCCCAGTATTCCCTCTTACAGTTGCTGGCAACTTCAAATCTTCCTGCTGTTCAGGCCAAAAACTTTGGAATCATCCATGCTCTCACAATCTCGCTCTCCACATCCAAACCATCAGCAAGTTTTGTGGCTCCACCTTAAATAAATATCCAGAATCCAACCACCTCTTACTATCTCCATTCCTTCCTCGTGGTTCAAAGCACTATCAGCTCCTGCCTCGATTATTACAAAAGTCCCCTCACTGGTCTCCCCTTTCATCCATGCCCTTTCTACACTCAACAGAGAAGCTACAGTAATTCTTTTAAAACATAAGTCAGATCATGTCACTCCCCTGTAGAAAACACCCCACTGGTTTCCCATCTCACTCAAAAAAAAAGTCCAAGTCCTTATAAGGGCCCTCAAGACCCTACCCAATCTCCTCTAACCTCCACTTTATTTTTCTGGTTGGCACTTATCACCTAACATATTACATAATTTATTTATTTTGTGAGCTCCAAGACAGGGATTTTTTTTCACAGTTGTATGCCCAGAACTTTTGTAGTTCCTGGAATGTAACTTTCAATAAACACTTGCAGAATGAATTACTAATTAATCATTTAATGTGGTAGACAAGCCAAAAATTATTCACATTTTACTTTGGAAGGCATTTAAATGCTATTATGTGCATTCAACACTATGAAAATAAAAAACACAAACTTTCCTTTATTTAAAATTTACCTTAATTCAGACAGAAATAAAACTGTAATTTACTAATTTTTAGAAGTTTGTGCTGGAAAAAATACTACATAAAAGGCTATTGGGCATATTTAACCTAAAAATAAATACTCCAAGCATTTTAGTCATGTCTATACAATTGATACCCTAATTCCAAATCACTCTGATCTATCCCACGAAAATACTTAAGAATGAAGGGAAAAACTTTGTCTTTCTTGTTCACTGTGTATCCCTAGCACCTGGAAGAGGGATTAGTATTTAGTGGGTACACAATAAACATTTAATTGAATAAATGAAGTATCATTTATGTGCCAGAATGTGCCAATAATCATCATTAGTCATACGATATTTCTTCTAGGTCAGGGCTCTTAACAGTAAGAATGAACATGAAAAGTTATTTCAGTCTTGCTCCCAAGACTGATATATTTTCCATAATACATCACCAGCCATTGGACTTTGGGCCAATGTTTAAACACTTTCAAAGAGAGATCACTCCTTTTTTCATGCTTCTTTTGTTTGAAAACAAATATAAAGTTCTTCTTTTCCAGAAATAAGTCCCCTGTAGCTTCACCCAATGTCCTAAACCTGCCATCTGGAGCAAAACAAAGTCTGCTTACTCCTTTCTTCCCAGGGACAGCCCTTCAAACAGATGAAGATTGTTCCATGTTCCCTTAAGTCTCCCCTATTCTCCACCTCCTTCCCTATGTTTTCAGGCTTTCCAGGATCCAAGTTGCCGTCTTGTCTCATTGCTCAGTTTTTCAACGTGTCTCCTTAAAATATGGTCTCCAGAATCAAGCAACTCACTGCAGAGAACAGAGACATCTCTCAGTCTTGACACTACAGTAAAATAATCAGCACTCTAGTACTACATTAGTGTTCAGGAGCCCTGTCATACTATGAATTCCCACCGAAATGGCTAAACTCTTAGACCACTCGTGGTCTCTCTCATTCTGTACTGGAGCAGTTCTTTGGGAAACTATGTGCAGACTTTGACACTATTACTATTAAATGTTATCAAATTGCTTTATGGGTTAAACTTTGTGAGTTTATCATACAATCTGCCTTCGTTGCTCTCATGGAGCCCATGATCATACTCTGAATATTTAATACTTCAGTTTCAATCAAAATCAGATCAATTGAACCACTACTACAAAATCAGCCAAGATATTCTCAATCTCTTTTTCTTTAACTTGTGCCTTATTGAGCAACTCTTGGATAAATGAGATAATCTCCCCACACGAAAAGAGACATTCTTTGAGGATGACCTAGGTTTACCATCACAATCTAGAAAGGCACTTAGAAGACAACTGGTCCTACTATCTAATTACTGCCAGAAAAAAAGACTAAAATAAAACTGTTTCTGAGTAGATAATTTTTAACCGACTCATAACTCAAAATTACATTCTATAACTTTCTTCATTTTAGTTACTAATGTACATTTGGCAATGAGTTTAAATTGAAGGACATCCCCAAAAGTTACAGGGCTTCAAGCTATCTGTGCCATGGAGATTTGGTTTAAAGGTTTGTTGTTGTTTTTAGTTTGATTTTTAATAGCTGAAGGATGTGGTTGCCACATTTTGTTTAAATTTTTTTTCAGTTAAAATTACTGTCACTCCTTTTAAGGAATAAACTATGGGGTTTTGATTTGTTTCAGTATCAAATATTCAAATTTTCTGAGGAGAATCTCAGTTCTACCTGTGCATTCCCTTTGGGTCTCCTCTAAAAGCCGCAGTGGCCCTCCAGTCACATTCCAGTCCTATTCAAGCTCCTCACTTTTCACAAGACGTCCAGCCCACCTCTGAACCTCTGTCCATGCTATTCCCACGTATATGCTAAGATTCCTTCCCATGGCTAATTCTTATTCATCCTTTGACTCCATCAGAGTACTGCAATGCTATAACAAAAGGATCAAAGTTCCAGGAGGGCAGAGATCTTTGTTTTGTTCTCTGATATATGTGATGTACCTAAAACAGTGCCTGGCACATGGTGGGTCCTGGATAAATTTGAGAATTATTTATTAACAAACTATCCCCTTAACCACACTTCAGGGTTATTACTGGTCCTTTAGTAAGTAGAAATTGAAAATGGAGTAACAGAACCCACTGTATAATTCTTTATATTTAGTTTTATATAAGCACGCTTGGTAACTTATCAAGTTCTCATTTTAAATAAACAAACCAAAATGAACTCTTCCTCACTTAAGGGGTGGGACTCTATCTTACCCACTGACCAGGATATTTTCTACAAAGCAAAGCAGCTAGCCAACACAAGTCTGGTGATCTGAACCCTGACTCAGGGATTCCAGTGCTATTCAACCTTCAGGTATCAGACTGGCCACCACCTGCTCTGCTAAATCTTCCCTGGCCCCTAAATCCAGGGTACAGCTCAATGGAACCCTCAGTTTGCCACATTCGAGGACTTATATATCTGTTAGAACTATGTGTTTTAATTGACCGTTTCCTCCATTAGGCTATAAAGCTACGTAGGGACAGGGCTGGTGACTGCACATTCATTTGATATTTGGTCACCACTGTTTCCCCAAGGCCTCAATTTCCACTGGAACCCGGCAGGCAGAGAGAATGATGTCCCTCTGCAATAAACAGAAAACAAAGAATAGGTGTACTCTAACTACTGGTTGACAAATAATTCCCAACACACCGCTGCTCACTACCTTTCAGAAACTCATTTTTATTATGTTATTATATTATATGTGTTATTATAGAGAACTGTCAAAACACATATGACATCTACTCTTACAGCGTCATCCTCTAAATTAAGCCAGATTATCAGCATCTTGAATTTAGATCCAGCAATACTGACAGCACTACCTGTTAGAATTACTTCTACCGAAATGGGCTTCAGAGAAGTTATAAGAAATACTCCTACAAAATTCATCACTTTTATTACAAAGCTATTATTCACTATATAGTCTCTTCTTCAAGAGAATACATGACAGGTTATCCTTTGTCAGTTCTGTTTTGGTTCAAATAACCAGTTTGTTTCAATTTTATGGACTCAGGGGTTGTATTTCTCTCAAGTTGGCTGCTCAGTAATCTTAAAATTCAAATTTGTGGGCTGCCTGCATCAAGAGTATGACATTCATCTTGTGTACCCAGATTCCAGCCTGCATCATATTTATTTCATTACCCTTAGTTCCCATTCTCATCTTTCTTCCTTAGTTTCAAATGATTTTATTTTGCTCGTACAATTATAAGCCACCATGAATCATTAAAACACTTATAAATACACACTTCCTTTTAGTTTGGTAGCTCTCTGTGAATCCCAGGGCTGTTCTCTAATTGTTAGCCTCTCCAACAAAACTGATAAGTGCTCCTGGTTTGCATTAACTGAAACCTTGGAGCAGTCACTTCACCTCTCTGTGCTTCCTTAAAATAAGAATAAAATAGTACTTACCTCATAGGGTTAGTTATGAATTAATATACGTGAAGTGCATAGAACTATGCCCTGCGAGTACTACTATGTAGGTATTAGCTATTATCATCTTTATTACTCTCCAATTCACTGATTAAAATGACAGAACAAGGAATGCCACTAATCTCTGACATTGATCCAACAACACTATGGTTTACGCTGGTTCTAGACTTTGTCATATGCCTTGTTCAAGTAAAGATAACAGACATATGACATTCTTCTACTGCCTAAAGTACACAAAGTTCCTGTTCACATAAACAAAATAGTAAACATCATAAATGATGTTAGTATTCATCTCAAGTCAAGAATTTCTTGGAAATAAGAGGTGGATTTATGGAAATTGGATGGTAAAGGACAAAAGAAGACTAATGGACTCATTACAAAAATAACTAAACTTAAAAATCTAGTTAAATTACTCAATCATAAACTTTTTAGGAGACTGGTTTGAAATTTTAAAATACTTTTTACAATTCAAAACTATTTTTAAATCCATTAGAAATAAGATCTCCATAATAAATAACCAAAAGTAACAATTACTTTATAACAGTTGTGGATCTACAGTAAAACAGAAGAAGTGCAGGACGTCAAGAAAGAAGGAGGCTCAGTCCTGGCTTCACCACTTCCTGGATACCTGACTGGCTTATCTCTGAAGTTCTATGAACTACTAGTCATTACAGCTTTACTCATTTTCAATCCTCACAACAAGGATGAGAGTGAATAACAACTAACTTGCTGTGCCGTTGTGAGAATTAAGGAAATACACAAAAAAGATCTGAGCAAACTGTGATATAAACGTTATTACCATTAAATAATCTTTAATAATCTATTTGTATTCTGAGTACTATATTCTATCCCTCTTCTACTTTTTCTAGTCTTACTATTATTTGTTTACAAAACCTCACTCTCACAGAATAAATACGCTTTCAAGATTTTAGGCTCTTTTAAAATCTAGCTACACAAGGGAACTTTGTGGTAGAAAAAGGCAAGCTAGCCACATGGATCTTAGTTCCTTCACAGACTGGATTCTAGGTAATATATACTCAAGCTATCAATGCAGCTAGGTGAATGTGGGTCCCTTTGTGATCTGGTTCCAACTTCATTATTTGTTTTCGTAAATGTTGTTAGTTACACTTGAATTGGAAAGTCTGCTTCCCTTGGGCCTCTCTAGAATGTGTCTAAATGTAAGTTCAACTACAACTTGAATAACCTATTCTATCCAAAATTCTTTAAATTGGAGAAGGCCCATTTGTGAACTAGTAGGAGGACATGTAAAACCTATTGACTCCAGGAGAACTAAGCAGTGTTAATGAAAACTACATTTTCTGTGACTCTTCTTTAAGCAGCCACATACGGAGTGATACCCTAGGCACAGCGCCCACACCACCTCATTTAAACCATCCTAACCACCGGTGAGTAGGTCTTATCATCACCATTTTACAAACTAGCCTGTCCCATCGCCAGCAAAGACTCCTAAAATCTACTCTATTTTACTACCAAATTAGCCTAACTCCACTCGACATAACAAAAAACTCATTTCATCAACAAATATCCATGCCTGCAGTAGCATGCCTAAATTTTACTAACTTTTAGCATCATTTCCATTACCTTCTCGTTCATCTGAGGCTATCAGTCCGCTTAACAGTAAAAAAAAAAAAAAGCTTTGGTTTATTTGTTTGTTTTTAAGTATAAGACTAGAAATGACTCAAGAAAGAAAACTTTGCAAGTAGCAGGTACAGAAATTCACCCGCCTCTGCCCGCTCTGGCTAACGTCACAATAACAATAGTTAATACAAAAATCTCTTGGAAAATGGCAACTGGATATTCTCTCTGTACATCTCTCTGCTGCCACCCACCTTGCAAATTCACAACTTGGGGAACTTTCTCGATAGATCATTCAGGGTTCTTAATCCAAAACTCAAGTCCAAACTTGAGCAAACAACTTGGGTCATTTAACAGTGTTAAGGGTTCCTCGGTGTCTGATTCCAAAAGTTGAGGTTCACTCTTAGGGGAGGCCTCAAGGATAGGAGTTTAACGACAACCAGAGGCCTTGGGTGAAGTAGCCTACGGCCCCTGGGAAAGGTGCGAGTAAATAGGGGAGCAGGAGAGAGAGGCAAGGTGTCCGAGGTCTGAGCAGCTGCCGGCCCCCGGCCCGGGCTGCGGCCGGGCTGCCCGACGAACCGCCTTTCCTTCTGGGCGAGCGCCGGCGCGAGACGGAAGGGGGCCGGGGCAGGGCGGGAAGCGAGCGGGGCCGCGGGCAGCTGGGCCCCGGGGACGAGCATGAACCCGGGCTGCGCGGCGACAGGCGCTCCGGGAGGGCCGCGGAGAGAAGGGAAGGGCCGGGTCGCACCTGAGCCCACGGGGCGCTTCCGGTTCTGGCGGGCGGACGAGCTGCGCAGGGTCCGCACGCTCCGGGAAGGGCAGCGGGGCGCGTCCCTGGGCCGGAGCAGCAGTTCCTTGTCGCCGGCCTCGCCCGGGGAGGCGGCGCCGTCCTCCCGGGCAGTCTCCACCAGCCTCACGGCGCTGCCCGGAGCGGCCTTCCGCGGCTGGGCCCAGGCGATCCGCTGCAGCAGCGGTTCCCGCTCCTCGTCATCGTCCTCCTCCTCCAGGCGCCCGCCGCCCGGAGACGCCCGCCGCCCGGGCTCCAAGGACTCCGCCATGGCCTCCCTCCGGGCCTTCGGCGCTGAGACCGGCTCAGAGAGGTGAGCTGCACGGGTCTGGCCTCGGCATATCGGGACACCTCTGGGTCACCCGCTGGGTCGGAACAAGGCCACCTCACTACAGCGCGACCCAGCTAGGAGCCCGCCCGGCGGTTGCCCCGCCCGGCCACAGGCCGCGCCCCACCTCTCGCCGCCGCCGCGTCTGCGCGGAAGGGCCGGGGCAGCAGTGGGCGGGGCACAGGGCACCAGGCGCGGGGCGGGGGTGACCGCCTGTCTCCGCGGGTCGGAAAGCCGCGGGGCGGGGGGGCTGACGTTGCTCCTGCTGGACCGCGGAGGCCTGCGTTAACTACCTCCGCAGATGGTCCCCGCCACCTCGCAACCTAAACTGACTTCTCCCTCCATCTTTATGATACTTTATATTCTTATAAAGTTTATACTCTCTTTATATTCCCTTATAAAGTTTACCACAATCTATACCTATATATTTCTTTGTATGACTATTTAATATTTATTTCTCCCACTAGAAGTCTTTGAGAACAGGGACCTTGTCTTTTGATCATTCTTTTTTTCTTTTTAAAGATTTTATTTTTCCATTTTCTCCCCAAAGCCCCCTGAGTACATAGTTGTATATTTTCAGTTGTGTGTCCTTCTAGTTGTGGCATGTGGGATGCCACCTCAGCATGGCTTGATGAGGGGTGCAATGTCTGGCCCAGGACGCAACCCCCCAAAACCCTGGGCCACCAAAGCGGAGCTCACGAGCTTAACCACTCCGCCAGGGAGCCAGCTCCCAGACATTCTTGATACTGGTAGTTTGTATTTTCTCTTTTTTTCTGACTAACCTAGCTAGAAGTTTATCAAATTTTTTAATCTTTTCAAAAAGCTATTTTTTGGTCCCATTGATTCTCTGTTTTCTAGTTAATTGACTTTTGCTCTTTATTATTTCCTTCTTTCTACTTAACTTGGATTTGATTTCCTCTTTTTCTAGTTGCTTAGAGTAGAAGATTACCTTATTGATTCTGGACCTTTCTATTTTTTTAATATAAACTTTTAAAGCTATGCTTTTCCCTCTAAGCACTGTTTTGTGTGTCTTCCACAAGTTTTGATATGCTGTGCTTTCACTTTCATTCAGTTCAAAATAGTTTGTTTCCCTTATAATTTCCTCTTTGACTCATTTCTTTGAAGTGTGTAGTTTAATTTCCAAATATTTAGGGGCTTTTCCAGGTATTATGATTGGTTTCTAATTTAATTCTGTTGTAGTCAGAGAAGATACACTAAGATTTCAACCTTTTAACATTTATTGAGACTTACTTTATAGCAGTATATCATTTACCTTGGTGAACATTCCATGTCTGCTTTAAAAAGAATGTGTATTCTGCAGATGAGTAGTTCTATAACTATCAATTTTTTCTATAAATATCAATTTAGTTAACTATTGATAGAGTTGTTCAGATCACTTATATCCTTATGGATTTTTAAATTTAGTTCTATCATACACTGAGAGTAGGTTACTACAATCTAACTATGATTGTGCATTTGTCTATTTCTTCTTTTAGTTTGGTGAGTTTTTGCTTTATGTATTTGAGAAGTTGTGTTATTAGGTGCAGACACAGGATTTTTATGTCTTCCTGATGATTTGATCCTTTATTTTCTTTTTCTTTCTTTCCTTTTTTTTCTTTTATGAACTGTCCCTTCTTACCTCTCTTAATACTCCTGCTTGAAGTCTATATTGTCTGATGTTAATATAACCACACCACCTTTCTTAGGCTTACAGTTTGCCTGGTAAATCTTTTTCCATCCTTCTCCTTTCAATATATTTGTGTCTTTATATTTAATATGTATGTATCTCTTGTAGATAGGTTATAGTTGGTTCTTGATTTTTTTAAATCTAGTCTGATAATTTCTGCCTTTTAATTGGAGTTTTTAGTCTATTTACGTTTAATGTAATATTAATGTACTTGGATTTAGATCTATTATAGTTTTGCAATTTGTATTCTGTTTCATCTGTTTTTTGTTCCTCTTCCTTTCATTCATGCTTTCTTTTCAGTCAATCAATATTTCTTCATATTTCATGTTAATTCCTCTACTGACCTTCTGCTAAAACTCTTTACATTAAGTTTTTAGTGCTTACTCTGGCATTCACTGCATGTATCCTTAAATTATCTCAATGTACTCAGACTTCATATTGTACTACCAGAAGTGAAATGTAGGAATCTTACAAAAGTGTACTTGCATTTATCCTCTATCCTATATGTTATTGTTGTCATATACATTAGATCCACATATGCTTAAATGCAGTGAATAAATTTTACCTTAAACAATTACATGTTTTTTTCAATAAGTTTAGAAAACAATGTATAGGTTTTTATATTTACCCACATATTTACCATTTCCAGTGCTTTTCATTTCTCCCTGTAGATCTGAGTTTCCATTTAGTATCATTTCCCTTTCCCCTGAAGATATGTTTTTAAAGCATTTCTTGTAATACAGATATGCTGGTGATAAATTCTAAGCTCTCATTTATCTGAAATTATCTTTATTTCACCATCACTTTGAAAGAATATTTCCTTTGGATATAGAATTCTGGACTGATGTTACCCACCCCCGCTTCTCCTCTCCAACTTCAACTCTAAAGATGTAATCCTATTGTCTTCTAACCTTCATTGTTTCTAAATCATCTCTCTCCACCCACTCACCCAATTTGTACCATGTCATTTTCTCTAAGCTGCCTTTAAGATTTCCTCTTGGGGCCAGCCCTGTGGCCAAGAGGTTAAGTTCACGTGCTCCACTTCAGCAGCCCAGGATTCACCTGTTCGGATCCTGGGCATAGACCTAGCACCACTCGTCAAGCCATGCTGAGGTGGCATCCCGCATAGCATAACCAGAAGGACCTACAACTAGAATATACAACTATGTACTGGGAGGCTTTGGGGAGAAGAAGAAGAAGGGAAAAAAAGAAGATTGGCAACAGACGTTAGCTCAGGTGCCAATCTCTAAAAGGAAAAAAATGTTTCTCTTTTTCTTTGGTTTTCAGTAGTTTGACCATGATGTTCTTGGTATGAATTACTTTATATATATCCAGCTTGAGTTTCGCTGGGCTTCTTGAATCTGTAAATTTATGTAGTCTACCAAATTTGGGGAAATCTCAGTCACTATTTTTTAAATACTTTTTTCTGTCCCATTCTCTCTTTCATTTCTTTCTGGGATTCCTATTACTTGTATGTTAGACTCTTTGATATTGTCCTAAAGGTCAGTAGGGATATGTTCATTTTTTTTCAATAGTTTTTATCTCTGTTTTTCAGATTGGATAATTTCTCTTAATCTGTTTTTAAATCTTCCAACCCTTCAGCCATTTCCAATTAGCTGTTAAGCCCACCCAGTGAAGTTTTTATTTCAAATTCTGTACTTTTCAGTTGTAGAATTTCCATTTGGTTCTCTTTTTAGAGTTTCTGTACCTCTGCTGAGACTTTCCATCTGTTAATTTATTATGACTATTTTTTAAGTCCTTGAATATATGAATAAAGACTGTTTAAAAGTCTTTGCTAATTCTTATATCTGAGTCATCTTGGAGTCAGTTTCTATTGACTACTTTTTCTCTGGACTATGAGCCAAACTTTTCTGTTCCTTTTCATTTCACCTATTCATTTTTTATTGATTACTAGATATTGTGGACGATATATTATAAAGCCTCCAGATTCTGTTATCTTCCTCTAATGAGTTCTAGTAGGTAGTTAATTTGACCAGAGTTAAATTCCACCTGAAATTTCTGATCCTTTCATTCAGCAATCCTGCTGTTGATTTTTGCTGGGCTCCTTGGAATCTACTCCATGCATGCAGAGTTCAGGAGTCAACCAAGAGTTTGGACAGAGCATATGTATAGATTTTGGAGCTCTCTTCCTCTATTACTCCCTCTCTTTCAGGATTTCCCTCCTCAGTTTCCAGCAGCTCTGGAAGTCCCAGACTCCAACCTCTAACTGCTTAAGCCATTAAGACAGTGGCTTTCTGATTGACTTCCAGCTGCCTTTCACAGTGCAGACTGAGTAGCACCCTCAGATGAAAAGATGTTTGAGCATAAATTGCATTTATTATATTTCAGTTCTTTGAAGAGTGGACACTCCTTCAATTACTGCCTGCCTGCTTTTGGTTACTTTCTAGTGTTTCAAATAATTGTTTCTATATTTTGTCTAAAGTTTATAACTTTTTTATCCATAAAGAGATTAGTTGGATATAACCTCCTGTGATATACTTTAAGGGAAATGTATCTTTTAGTGAGATGAATGGTGCTATATTTTTGTCAGTAGTTCACATATTAGTAGAGGAATATTACTTATTGCTAGGTAAGACAGGATTCAGCATCAGTTCTTTTTGTAGTTTTAGTTTTTATAGACAAACTGAGAAAATCTGTTCAAATAAATAGATGAATATGGAAAACATTTTGTAATAGCAATATCACTCAAATGTTTGATCTCCTTCTAAGATATATGCTAAAAATCACATAGTACCTATCACCGAAAATTATTTTTTATAATCTATCATCAGGCACCACATTTAGTTTCTCCTTTGTTTGAGTTACTCACTTTCTCAATTTCTGGGAGACATACCAAAAAGACTTTTAAAAGACTCATCAAATTATTAATAATTGTACTGTAACTCATTTCAAGGCACATTATTTTTTAACTCAGAGTTGAGAAAATAGAAATATTAACATTTCTATAAGGCTTTTACCAATACAATATTATTTGTTAAAATACTTTTATCATGAGCTTTAAGTTTATTTCTGTCAAAACGTTGGAACTGAAGACTTAGCTCATTCAATGTATATAAAACATCTAACTTAAAAGTTAATTGGCAAAGCCAGCTTTCATTATCAAGTCAATCAGCCAAAGCAGACTTTTTTCAATTCACATAAATATGTTAAAATATATCCCTGTGTCAACATCTCAGTTTTGAATTCTAAGGCTCTGCTGCCTTCAGTATTTCTCACAGATACTTTTTTTACTTTGTTCCCAGCAGTGCATTCTTTGATAGCAGTCAAGGTTGAGAAGAGGCAAGATCTTTAAATGAAACTTGTCATCACTCCCACAACCTCACTCTAAAATGTCTATGTATTCAGAACGTCCTAACACAGGCCTAAATGCACCATGTCCAATGTCACCATCATCTTTAAAATAATGCTCCTTTAATAAGAAAAGACAGGCAACA